AAATGCATTCATGATCAGGAAGCCAGGAGACAAAGCTCTCCTGAACGTGCACCAACTTCTACCAAATTTAGTAGTAGAATGGAACTATAGACTTAACATTTGTTATAATGGCAATTTGCCACTAAATAGAAATAACATTACTTGGCCCAATTGTATTTAAGGGGGAAATCTATGTTGCATGTTGACACAACACTGCATGGAAAATGTTGATTGAAAAAAAACCAACACTGTTTGTGTTTGGGGGATCAGTAATTATGATCTTTTAGATATTGTGTCTTTTCCCTTCCTTCCCCAGGTGACAAAGTGCTGGTCGTTTCTGACCTCAGCTCAAGGCTGACCTCCTTGACTCAGCCTCCCAAGGCAAGGATGGTGAAGAGGAAAACTGAACCAGTCACCTTTGTACCAACAAGTTCCATGCTGCATCTGTTACTACCTGTTCTCCCTCCCCCAGCAGGCATCAAGGTGCAAAGCCATCATAAACAACATCCTCCAAGCGACAGGTAAATTATTGGGTCTCCACTGCTGGTCTCGACCAGCATTGCTTTTCTGATGGAGCTGGCACTGACCTGGCTCTGTGTGCCCCATCCTGCTGCCCTCTGCTAATCATATACCAGGGATAACCTCTCCTAAACCTCAATTTGCCATCGCGTGAGGCCTGGAGGGTGAGAATTGTGAGGGTTTCTTTAGCCACAAGAGGGAGGCCGCATTCCTGGGAAAGAGGAGATGAAGTAATTCGAGGTCAAATCCTTCCTTCGGCCCAAACTGCCTTTGACCTTTATTTATTCAGACAAAACTGCAGTGCATACCAACGGCCGTGGTTGATGAGTTACAGGATTTTTGCGAGGCTAGTGAAAGCAAAACTTGCAGCTTTGTTAATATTGGAAAAAAGAAAAAGAAGAAGAAGAAAGAAAAAAGAAAGAAAGAAAAAGAGAAAGAGAAAAAGAAAAAAAGAAAGAGAGAAAGAAAAAAGAAAGAGAAAAAGAAAAAAGAAAAAGAAAAAAGAAAAGAAAAAGAAAAAAAAGAAAAAAAAGAAAAGAAAAGAAAAAGAAAAAAAAAAGAAAAGAGAAAAAGAAAAAAAGAAAAAGAAAAAAGAAAAGAGAAAAAGAAAAAAAGAAAAAGAAAAGAGAAAAAGAAAAAAAGAAAAAGAGAAAAGAAAAGAGAAAAAGAAAAAAGAAAAAAGAAAAAAAAGAAAAGAAAAAAATGAAAAAAGAAAAAAGAAAGAAAAAGAAAAAAGAGAAAAAGAAAAAAGAAAAAAAAAGAAAAAGAAAAAAGAAAAAGAAAAGAAAAAGAAAAAAGAAAGAGAAAAATAAAAAAAAGAAAAAAGAAAAAGAAAAAAGAAAAAAAGAAAAAAGAAAAAATGAAAAAGAAAAAATGAAAAAGAAAAAAAAGAAAAAAGAAAAAAAAGAAAAAAGAAAAAAAGAAAGAAAAAAGAAAAAAAAGAAAGAAAAAAGAAGAAAAAGAAAAAAGAAAAAAAATGAAAAGGAAAAAGAAAAAAGAAAGAAAAAAGAAAAAAGAAAAAGAAAAAAAAAGAAAAGGAAAGGAAAAAGAAAAAATAAAAAAAAAGAAAAAGAAAAAAGAAAAAAAAAAAAAGAAAAAGAAAAAAGAAAAAGAAAAAAAAAGAAAAAGAAAAAAAAAAAAGAGAAAGAAAGAAAAAGAAAAAGACTACTGAAAAAAAAAAGAAAAAAGAGAAAGAAAAAAGAGAAAAAGACTACTGTGCTGTGACAAACTATTGCTTTAGCTGTGCCTTCTGGCAACAGCCAGTATTTTCCCGAGAAGCCAAATTGAACTACTACTCTACTACTCTTTGATGTGTGCATCTAGGGGTGGGTGCAGGGAATGAAACCCCCAAAGCCAGCTGTTACACCATCCGCATCTTTTCCTAAAAATGGGGCTAATATTGAAAAGACATTATTTGAAGCATATGGTATTCCCTGCTTGTTTCTCCTCAAAATTGGCACGATGATAGCTCTACGCAGAAGACTAACTGAGGAAACTGTACGTGTACAAATGATAAGAGTCACCCCGCCAGCAGCAACAATAAAGCCACGGATTGTACTGCACACAGGCAGTTAAACAGAATTATTACCAGCAGCTGCTGCCTGTGGTACCTGAGAACTTGTTCTTCAGTGAGCAAGTTCCATACAACGCCTGAGCATTTTGATGATTTTGGAGAACGAGCAAATCAGCAGGATAATGTCTGATGGCATGAGGCGCTTGCAAAACTCCACCGCAGGCAGCAGAAGTCTCTCCAGTGGCCTTACTGGGCTTGGGTTCAGCCCACAGTTCGTACTGGGAAAGAGGAGAGTGTGACCAGAGCATGCTGTGCTGGATGTGTACGGGCTCCAGCGAAAGGAAGGCGAGCACAAAGAGGTATCCTCTTGGGGAAGAAGAAGCTGTGATGGTGAAGGTGTACATCAGCATGTCCGCAGCCTTCTCACATGATTTATAGCAGGCAGTTGCAAAAGCAGAGCTAAATGGGGGCTTGCAGCCCCTGTTAAATCCACCTGCGATATTTGGAAACATTATAAAGTCCATATTCACATGTCAACAATCCCCCTTTCTTCCAAAACCTGCCAGCTATTCCGATTTGAAATACAGCGTGCCAAAATGTAGTAAATAGTCACGCTCACTAACTGCTGCAGTGAATAGGCTGCTATTTTCAAAGAAAGGGAAAAATATCATTGAAGATGGAACTTAGTGGCTCTGATATAAAAAAGTCAAAATACGAGGAAATGGCCATGAGTTTACCAAAAGCAGAGCTTTTTAAACAACTGCACATGTTGCTCTGAGATCAAAAGGGCAAGAGCACACTATGGACAAATTTATGAGGAAATGAGAAGTTTTCTAACCAAGGCAGCAAGGTTCCCACAGTGGGAGCAGTGGAAACGAAGGTCCTGACTGAGCACAGGACACTGCTTGCTCAGCTCATAACTGCCCGAGTTTCTGCAGTTCCCTGTTCCTACTCCTTTTCTTTGACCAAGTGCACCAAAGATCTCACGCGACGCAAGATCCAAGACCTACATTAATGATGAAAGAGCAGGGGATGAAAGACACGGGGCTCTCTGATGTGTCCTGAAGGCACCTGCTTCATTAGCAGAAAGTGCCAGCAACAGAAGCAGTTGGTTCCACCACAAACTGCACCGAGCTCAGCAGCACCAGAAATCAGCAATCTCAGGCTGGATTCCCAGGAAAGCACCCAGGTTTAATTCTCTGTTCAAGAACCTCCTGAACATTTCAGGTAAATGAACATATTTCTCCTTTTTTTGGTATGCTCAGCCTTGGATAAGTTTCATATTCTTTCTGGAATAAAATAAAACAAGGGTCCTACTGTACAGAAATCATTTCCTCTGGAAGAAAATGAGCTCACAGCCACGAAGCTATTAAACATTGTTGGATTAAGAATAGCACAAAATGTTATGCCTCGTGAAAACAACCTTTCAGAAAACCTATGATCATGAATTTGTGACATTTTTTAAAAAGCGTCCTTGAAATAAGTGCTTAAAAAGATACTCCCAGCTGAGATTCGGACTGTGTTGCGAATGAAAACATATGTGAGATTCACTGGACACATATTCACACAAAAGTGGTTTTTGCATCTTCAGCACCCCAATTTGAACAAAACAAGTGTCAGTAATAAAGGCTATTAGGCTTCAACATTATTTCAGATCTAAATATTGAATGTATACTTCATTAATAAATTAATGTGTGCTTTAAGAAACATGTGCATGATTTCACAAAAGCTTCAGGAGCATTTAAATTTTATCTGTAAGAGAATCCCTCTTCACTAAACCCACTTTTTGCATAATGCAAAGCGTGAACTTAACTCTCTGGATGCTCAGACCACGGTTCTCCTCGTGCTCGTTTCCCTTCAAATGCTGCAAATCAGCTTTTTCATCCAGCAGCGAACATCCGAGGCCAAGAGAAATCCAAATGCAAGCAAACTACGTGCAGCTTTGTTCTCATCAGCTCAACATCACGGGACCGAGAGGTGACAATTGTCTTTTTGGAGAGAAAGAGCAGGATGGTTCCATCACCTGGCCGAGGTGCGGGGCAGCCCCATGGCACTGCCCCAGGGTGGTGGAAACGTCTGCCAGAGGCTTCCTGAGGACGCAAGGTGGCTTGTGCCACAGAAATGATGGATGGGACCCTGCTGAGAGACTCTGGCTGCCCTGGATCCTGTCCTGAGGAGATGGGTGTCCCCAAATACCCGCAGGGGGAGCCGGGACACTCCTTATATTGTGCTTTGCTTTTCCCTACCGGGCCAGGGATGAGAAAAATCAGTTCTCAGCCCTAATATGCTATTGCAGACTGAGCCTGGGGAACCCTCTTCTGCAGCAGAGGAGTGGTGGGCTCCTCAGGGTGTTGTAGCCCTGCTGGCTGTGATGGGCTGAGCAGGGACCACCACTGGGTGAAGGTTTTGCCTGAGACTGCCGTGGTGGCCCTGCGAGCCATCTGTACCCCTCCACGCAAGCTGCCTGTGCTCATTGCAGTGTCTTACCCACACTCGGAAGACATCTGGTTTGGATAGCCCCAAGATATTTCTCCATGCTTTTCTAACATCTTTGTCCATCCTATAAATCTGTGCTGAACCTCCTTCCTTTTCCTCCCTCCAGCACAATTTTGGTTCCATGAATGCAGCCTCACACGTTACAGGATTTAGGACAGATTAGCAAATTGCTTCACCTCCACCTCAGACCTGTTAGAATCCAGCTTTTATTTCAGCTGGCTTTAAGGAAGTTGCAAAATCCATTTATGATGATGCTTTGACCTAGGATTAGTATTACTTATATTTTGCTCTGTAGATAGACTCTTTAAAAAGCCACCATTGGGGCACTGACATTTGCTGTCTGAATTTGTACGTTTTGGTATAGAATGGGGGTCTTACCCCCCTGATTTCTCTCTGGCACCTCAAACCTGGTGGACAGGCCCAGGTGGAGGTGCGAGGCAGCTCCCTTCCCTTCGCTTCCCACCCCTGATGCGTGGCCAGACCTTCTACTCACCCCAGCTCAGGGTACCGCGCCATGATGTAGTTGTAGCATCTCCCCAGGATGACTTCTTGCAGGTTCTTAGTGGTCCCCCTGTCCTTCCACTTCATCATTTTAGGACTGACCTCCGGCTTTCCGTGAGTCAGGAGAGAAGCCAGCACGACGGCGAGGATGAGGACAACCAGGAGGACCACGATCCCCACCAGAAGGACGGTGCGTTGCCGCGTCCGGGCAGAGCCCTGTTGGAACGGCATCCTGCGGGGGGGGACTCGGTGAAGAGCAGCAGCAACTGCTCTCCCGGCTCAAAAGTGAAAATAAATAGCGTTACAACTTGTCACCCAGCGCCTCCCCCCACTCCCCTCCTCCTCCTCCTCCTCCTCCGCCCCGGGCTGACCCCCCGGCCGCCCCGTCGGGGGAGCGCTGGGGGAACCGGGGGTGGGATGGTCCGGTTAATCCGGAGCAGGAGTTTCCCACCGCCCCCTTTCCCAGCGGGCTGGGACCAATCCAGCCCTTTTTAAAGCTAAACAATGGCTTTTCAGGGCTTGACTCCGGGTGACGAGAGTCTCGCTGCCGGCTGCTTTCTTCTCGCTTGGCCATCGCCCCCTTCCCGCCCCCGAGTTAAACTTTGCGAAGTTTAATTCAGGGATAAACTCACAAAAGCGAATTTCAGGAAATTACTCATAAAACTCCACAAGCCTTTGTTCAGATAAAGATCTCTTTGCAGCGATGTGCTCCAGCTAATGCGGGAGCAAAAGCTGAGTTCAAACGGCCCCGGTCTGTTTTCTCTAAATGAACTTGTTTTTAAATCATAGAATCATAGAATGGTTTGGGTTGGAAGGGACCTTAGAGATCATCATGTTCCAACCCCCCTGCCATGGGCAGGGACACCTCCCACCAGACCAGGTTGCTCAAAGCCCCATCCAGCCTGGCCTTGAACCCCTCCAGGGATGGTAGGTCTTGAATCCGACTTTACCAAATGCAATTAGGAACTTTACAGTAGTCATCAAAATATCCTGCAATCCTGCTTTAGCAGGGAAGTTGGACTAGATCATCTCTATGGTCCCTTCCAACTCTAAAAATTCAGTGAAATCATCCCACAATGGGGTATTTTATTTCTCTCCCTTGCAGATAGGCTTGGAGTAGTTGTCACATGAATTTCTAGGAGCAGTGTGTGAATTGTGGGTGGCTGAGGCTGTGTGAAATCACCTAACGAAGCATTTAGTGTTCTCAGCAAGAGGGAAGTTAGTTCCTCATTCCCCTCTCCAAATGGGGCAATCCTTACTCAAAAGTCAACATAAAATAAGACTCAAATCTCAAAACCTAAACAGAGGAAGCTATGCAATGTCAGAATAATGTTAGCTACAAATTATTAATATAAGTGTTAATAATTGCTTACCCAGCATCTGTCTTTAACAGGTTGACGCCAAGAAAGGGTGTTTGCAACACACCTCAGTCAGGACTAGGCAGTTCTGAAAGACATCAGAAGCCTTCACTGGTAAGCAATATTTTTTTAAGCACATAAGCTGAATTTTTCTGATCCTGTTTTCCGAGAAATGATGCAAACTTTTGGGAGGGTTTGACTCAGAAGTGAAGCCTCGCTTTTGGAGTGGCAGAGCAGGCTGACAGCCTGAAGTGGTTGCACAGTTGCACCAGCTGATCGTTACAGGTCCCTTCCAACTGAAATCTAATCTATTCTATTCTATTCCTAACAGATAAAAATCTCCTCTCTTCATGACACTGCTTGAGTCCCCCAGGTGGTCCCTATCGCAGGGGACCTATGATGCAAAAAGCACAGGAAGCTCTGTAGGAGACAATTCAGTAAGAATTAGCTCATAAAGGAAGTTTTTAACCATAATCCTTTCAGTAAGCAAGCGGGGTTTGCCTTCTCAGGCTCCGATGATTGTTCTTTATTTGTTCCTTGTTTTCATCATCCTGTAAATATGAATGCAAGGTATTCACAGCTGAGTTTTGTGATCTTTTATTATACACAAGAGAGATCATTGAATGTGGTTTATTTTTCCCTTAATGTTTGTTTGCATGTGTTTTCAACTTGCTGCTCTTTAGTTTCATTAACTAAGCAAATACCACGTTGCAAAAAAACCCCAACTGGTTATCCCAAGCAGTTTATGCAGCAAAACTGCAATCTCTGCTTGCACTGGCTGTTGAAGATACGTATCTTCAGTAGAGCTAAGAGTCACTTTTAGAGTGGAACAACGGAATAGTAATTTAAAAGCTTTAAAACCCACTATTCTTCAGTAACCTGATGTCTGAAAACTTCTTTCTTTTGTTCAGATATGACATAGATTCATCAAGAATAAATAAATAAGGTGAGTGCAGACTCAGTGGCTCTGGAAGGTGTCCTCGCTGCTGAGTTTTGTAACACCTCCAACTACGTAAGGAATGTCAAAGACAAGTGAAGGTCAAGCCTCCTTTCAGCAAGCCTTGGCAGCCTGATCAGGACGAATAAATAGGACAAGCAGAGTGGAGGGGGATGCAGAAAGGCCAGTAAAAGCACAGACCCCCCAGGGGTGCAGAAGGTGGGAGTTTCTTTCCCAGAGTGAATGTGAACATGAACTCACTCCTTGCGAGTGTTCTGACCCAAGAGGATTTCCACAAGAGGTGTAAGTAGGATGATAATGGTGTCTTAGAGAAGCAGGGAGGAAACAGTATTCCCTGAACAGCACATCGGGGGTCAGGGGGGGAGCACAGAAGGGGAAATGAAATAAGGAAGGATGACAGGAGGTGAAAATCAGTGCGTTTTACAAGGGTCTCGCATCCCTGTAGGTCTGTGGAGTGAACTGGATTTCACTTCTTTCCTAAGCTGTTTTCCCAAGAAGCTGACCTTAAGCTGACTGACTTCATTCCACAGGAATTCAGTACCCTCAGCAGGACCCTAACGAAATGCAAACTTTGGGTTTCCCCTGAGATTTCTGGGAAGCCTCATGGATCTGTGCCCTTCTTGAAGTGGTTTGCGGGTGGTTATTTTTCCTTTTACAAGGAAAATTACAGTTTTTGAAAGCACTGTGTCTCAGAAACCGATAGCCAACTTTTGGAGCCCCCTGAGCTACGTGAATTTCCAAGGTAGCAAATCTAAACTAATCCTGGTCTTACCAAGGTGTGTCCACTCTTCTGACAGAATTTACACTAAATCTTTGGGCGGGGTGATTAGAAAGTGGGTGGAAAAGATCAGAAGAAAGAAACACTTCAGGCACGTAATTGCTGGCCTTTGATACCATGCAGCAGGAGACTTTTGTAAGAATAGACCTGCATTATATATCATTTATCAACCTGCTGGGATTATTGTAAGACAAAAGCAGTCCACTCTCATGGCTACCTGCAAGTTCTGTGGATGGTATTTTTGAGGCAGCAAGGGATAACAAACCACCCCCCAAGCCATTCCCAAGGCCTGATCGCTCTAAAGTTTGATTTATCCTTTTATTTTTTGCTATCTATCAAATGTAGATAGTTCCAGCACTCAAAACATGGCTGAGGACACGAAGAATCCCCCATGGCAGAACTTGCTGGTAAGAGGTGCTGTGCAGCGGGTAGGACTGAACCTCTCCAAAGCAACAGTGACCTGCAAACACAGGCAAGAAACTTTACGTTGTGCATCTTTTCAGTGCTCCTAGGAAACCCTGGAAATGTTTCTTTCTTGTTAGAAATATTTAATGATTGTGTGGTTTCGGTCGTGCCGCGCTGGCTTCTATTCCTCACCCAGGTGTGCTGTTTGGCCACCACTCCTGTCAAAATGGAAACAACCCCCCTGCCTCGAATGGAAGTGAGCTCAGTGATGCCAGCAGTGAATTTGTCTATGTGATAGAAAAAAAAGGCTGCTTCAAATAGAAAACAGACAGTTTAGGAGTCACAAAGACTCATTTTAAGGTAAGACGCTGGATTACAAAAATATCACAGTATTCACAGTGCCACTAATCACTCCTAGTCCTGGGGACACCTGTAATTACTGGCTGTCACTTCTCAGCAGAACCTATGAATGAGAGAATATGAACTGAAAAGAGCAGAAGTTGTTATAACAATTAAAGACATCCTGTCTTTTCTGGCTGTTGTTGGAACAGCAGTGACTCTCGTCTTCTCATAGCTTCCCAATTTCACGGGGTGAACGCTGTCACAACATTTAGAGAAGGCTTGAGATGAGCACTGAAAATAACGTGGTAAACAGGGCTGGGATGGGGGAACCAGCCAGCACAAAGTGACAGCTGTGAAGAGCTGCTGCCATCCAACCACACACACCAGCTACGGTGGAAAATGCATTTGTGTCTGGGTGTCTGGGCATCACACTCGGCTCCCTGCCCTGTCAGCTCCTCTGCCTGCAACAACCTGAGCTTTTCTTGGAGAGCTGGGCAAGAGCACAAATGCTTGCAGGATATAGGACAACCTTTAAGTGACTCTGTTTCCCTGGTGGCAATCCCCACTGCACCTACCCTAGAGCTATAGGTGGGCAAGGAGACAGGCAGACAGACAACGGTGCCTTAACTCTGAGCCTGCACTGGTGGCCACCTAAAGGACATAAAAAAATGTCCCATTTGTGCCTTCTGCAAGGTCATATCCTCTGCTGGGAACATGGACCACATTGGGCTCCTGTCCAGTATGTTTCCTGCACCAGATGAGCTGTCTGGAGATGGTCTGAGCTCCAGCATTCCCTTCCTTACCCCCAAATCCTTTTTTTTTTCTTTTTTCTCAGCTGGTTTTTGTTACCCAGTTGTCTTCTTCAGCCCGGTGGTATTGTCTTGCTCAATCTGTTGCTACTTAACAGGAATCTCTACCCTGATTGCATTTTCTTCTCCTGTAAATTCTTCAAGATTACTTCTGATAACAAAACATTTCAATTTATGGTAAAGTCTGAGTATCAGGTATTCAAGAGGGTTCATGATCTCAGAACAGGACGGTGTGGCTTCCATTCTCACAGATAACAAGAACATCAGTTCTGCAGCCCAGTCCATTAGGTTGAATGTGGTTGAAATGGGCTAATTAATTCACAAGTATTAGGAAGGGAGAAGACTGAGAGATGGAGGAATGGACAAGCAAACCAAGGGATTCCATAGGCCTCCTTTCATTTGTAACCCAGCCTCAAGATAAATTATCTTCCCACTTACAAAGGGTGCAAACGACTATGCAACAGAAACAATGATGTAAAGTACTTTGCTGTGGGGAATAACTGACAGTGCTTACTGCAGGTGCAATATAAAACCTAGCTGATTAGCTAATTGGCTTTCAGACCTTTGTCAGCTAATCTGATACTGCAGTGTTTCATCATCTTTTTTTACTTTTTTTTTTTTTAAAAAAATATCTTTAGCATTTTCTCAATTTTTTAAAAGGTTATCGCATAC